TGCATAGACGGGTAGACTGTACGATTCCTAGATTTCCTGTATTTGTGTATTACCATGCAGCTCACGTGTCTGGCACATGACATCCATCCAGACAGCCTGTAAATCTTTATTGATCACGTGATTTGGTTTATGGCTACCATGGAAACGCACGTGCTTCTAGGACGACGGCATATTTACTGTTGGAAGCTCCTGCTACTTTTTAGTTGTTCTATTTTTGGGCATAATTAAAAGGCTTGAAATAGTCGTCAGAATGCTGTAGTTTATACCTCGATCGTAGTTTTAAACGACCAACTATCCGGTTAGCTGTCATATGCGAAAAGTTATGACATGGTGAGCAGTAATAGTTCAGCATTTTAATTCACATCGTTACTAATCGATAGTGGTTCGACATCCAGTCTTAATCTAAATTAAATTGTAATTAACCCCAGTTGCATCACTGATATGATGTTTTGATGAATATTTAGCATCTTGATCGACAGTCAAATTTTTTTCTTTTGAAGGTACTGCAGTCATTGGGATTCCACGATCGATTTGTTGACTTTCATATTCGTCCATCTGATGGAATCGGACTTGACTCACAGCTAACTACATTTGTGCATACAAAATTCAAAATTTATTTTACGATTCTAGCTTTTAAAACGATACTTCCCATCCTGTTATTATATATATCTTAAACAGGTTTATGGCTTTTATCGCGTTCAATATTTTTGAATACTTAGATGAGTTGAATTGGTCATATTTAACCATATCGCCATCGATGTGTGTAATCCTGTGACGTATATATATACTATATATAATAGTGCAGTCCCCCAAGTTTGTCAGCCAATGAGAGGAGCGAAATGGCACAACAGCATAATTATGAGCTCTTGCAACAATTGCTAGTCGCTGTCTGGCTTTTCACTTGCTACAATCTTTATCTCTTTATGAAGGGTTGTAACTTGTAGTAACTCCTATAACCATAGGTCAAAAACATTGATGGTTGACAGTAATATTTTATATTTTCAAAATCTAAGCAACAATTTAAAACTTGAAGGTGGAGCTTCAGTTACACATCGCTTTAGTACAATCTTACCTTGCAACAGGCTTGCAATACCTCACAGACACCATCTAAAAGCTTTGAAGCCTCCAAAAACAATTTAGTTATTTGAAACGTTGCAGCATAACATGAACATAACAATTATTGGCCTTCATTCAATTTGCAACCCACTAAGAAATTTTTCGTATTCTTCATAAACTAAGTTTTAAAAGCTTTGTTTCATATGAAAAATATCGATTATTCCAAGTTTATTCTGCAACTGTTTAGCGACTAGTGTTCAAATTTGATAACTTGGTAACCTACTATTGAGTTGATAAATTATTCGTACAAACTAAAAGCAACGAATGCTTGAATTGCATCATCGAAACCCTCTTAATTCCAAAAAATTTTGCCATGGCATAAACGGGGAAAAATGACTCCACTGTTACCAAATTGCAGCAATTTTTGCCACTCACAGCAAAATGACCTGAAAGTGAATGGGGAAAATTTAAAGATAATGTCCCCTCCTGCGCTGAATCAATTAATTAGGTAAACAATTTATCAGTTCAATCGTTCCTCATAAAATTCCTTGCAGTTTGCAATCGGGTGAAAGTGGACATATTTTAGAATGGCCCTGTAATTAAATGCTCCTGCGGTGTTTAATGCATGTAGGTTACTAATACTTGGTAACGTTTTAGTACGTGTAGTGATTATGTGGTTTTTATTGTATCCTTTCAAACTGTGACATCGCGGACGATCTTCAAGTTTATAGCTCAGACTCTGATAGACAAACTACGGCTACTATGATTATTATGATTGGCCGCACATAAACATGTTTTAAACTGTTCCCTCTGTTATACTGCGTATAGAAATGTAATGAAATAGAAATGGTTTTTGTTTAAAATTGAACATGATTCTAGATTTAGTCTAAGGCAGAGTTTAAGCGGGTAGCGTATGTGCAGGAATTTTGTGACCATCCAAATTTCATGAAAAAGAAGACGTTTTACTTAAACTCAAAATATAATAAAAAATACTTTAAACGCTCTTTACCGGAATACATAATATACAGTTATTTGAATTTATCGAGATTTAAAGTAACGCTGTTTATATTTTGCGTTTATGTCAATATAAGTTTCAGACAGAACAATACAATTTTGAGACATGACATACTTATTATGCACTGGGTTATAGAAAATAACCTGTTGGCTGCAGTACTTCTCGTGGCCTGGCTTAACTCCTGATTACCGCAGCTCCCATTTCTAGATATTATACTTATACGTATAGGTTTACCGTACCTGGTCGAGGCACTATTTCCGATTCATTGCGGTGAAATGTAAACCTGTTTCTGAACATATTCCAGTTAAAAGTTTTGAATGAATTCTAGAGTTATGTGCATGAACAAAGCCTGGCTCTTTCGTAAGAGAAAAATTGACAGTCGTTAGTTTGAGTCGGTTGATCCCGAACTTTCGCACGGTTTTGATAATGGAATTGGAAGAGAATTACCGTTACCGATCAATCTACCTACTTTTGATTGTCAGTTACTTGGCATTTAATTGATCCCAGCTTCATGGTTATCGAAACTGATTGCCCGTGTGATGAACTGATGGAATCTTACGGTTTGTGCAATCTAGTACACGATTTTCCCGGGACCAGTTTCTCATGTGGAAGCGATCAGGCAATATCCAAAGGACGGGAAGGGCAGCCAATATGATGACTTATGGAGATACCACGTGACCATGGTAACACGTGACTCATCACATGGTATTGAGAGCGCGGCGCGTGAGTGCCGCCCTGCATTTTAACCACATCTACCCCTGCTCTCCCCTTTACGGCATTTAGTTTCTTTTAACGCTAGCTGCCATCATCCATCGATTGATCATGGAAAACAATAATCCAGGCTCTTTAATTTTAAAGGGTTGTCCTTGTCACAGCAGTTCTATTAAATATTCGTTTATTGAGGGTAGAAGGTTACCGTTAGGGTGCCCCGGCTATCACAGTCTCCCGTTAACAGCGTGACCGTGGCGCGAGATTGGGCCTCTTTGACAGAACATCTATCCAATCATCGGTCACTAAAGTCGATTAAAATTTGACTTTTGTTGATGGATATTTTAACATGATACTCGTATATAGCATTTAAGGATTTGTATGTTTTACTATATTCTATATCATGTTCAGAGAAAGAGACGCTGTATACCTTTGAGAGCTGCTGGAGCTGTCAATCGCGCCTAGTGCTTCATTTAACTGCCCCAATAGATCCTGCGAAACGTGATGCTAGCGAAGTTTACGATCTGATTTCACGGGGGCGAGAGAGAGAGAGAGAGTTTGATAGTCAATTTTACTTTAATAGATTTGGGCAGGTTATAAAAATTCACCCATCCCATAATTCACCTTCAGTATAATATACAGATTTTGATGAGGAGTTCACTTGACAGATCATTCCTCACACTAATCCTTACATTTACACTTAAATCCACAGTGTTGAACTGCCGCCTGCCAAGTCAAATATATTTTCAAATTCATGTATCTAGTCTAAAGGTGCACGGCGCCGTGTCATCATTGCCAATCGTGACAATAGTTTCATTTCTCAGTGCTCGCTGCATCACAGATTTCGATAGCCTGATAATGTAATTGCAAGCCCCTTTTCACGACCCCAGATGGGCTATAAACGCATGATTCTTAAGTGGAGAGCATGCTACATGTGCGCTAAGTAGATATTTGCGTCCTCCTACTCCACTACCGCTGTGTTGAGTGGCATCATGGCTCGATACTACATCTGATCGAACTGTTTACCGAACATCACGGTTCCACCACACAAACACTACATACACGAGCCAGTACTGCAGTTCAGAGCGATGCAATCTGACTCATCTGATTTTCACTGATGGTAATCTAATTGGGAGCCACGATCAGTATTGTGTCTGGAGAATGTTGGCACTCTGGTGGTTTTCTCTCTCTCTCCCTGACTGCTAGTCTGATGGTTCACCACTCGCCATACTGGGTTGTTGTTACCCAGATCTTTTCCTCCGTCATCTGATACAAATTTTGATGTTGTTGCGGGGGGAGGGTAGAGGGTGGAGACGAATGTTCTGTTGAAATGGCTAGTGTGCGGGGCCCCCCGAACTTGTATACTAGTCTTAGGTAATTAGTAACATTCTGTCAGCTGCTGTTCGCAGACCTGCTCCTTGTAATGGCTGCATTGTAAAAACATGTGCCGATCTAGTCTCCAGCAAATTGCCTCCCCGTGGCTCCCGTTCCACGAGTTTGTTAATGTTTAGCTCCGCTTTATTTTTAACCATTTTTTCTCTCCGCCTTCTCTCTTAATTCCATTCACTTGTACGGCTGTACAGCTCTATGAAACTTGAGTTCAAACGTAGTCGTAACTGCTGGTTGTATGGCACACGCCAGTTCAGTAGTACCGTGTAGCTCCCCTGTACTGGAGTCATATCCCCCCTCTCTCTCTCTCTCTCTGGCCCCATTCAGACCTCTTTACCTGACTTGCTAACAACAGCAGCACATTAGCAGCTCCTTTACAGTACTCCACCATTTTTTCGCTCATGATCTTGAAAGAGAGCCGTAAGAATATGGTGCGTGCTCTTTTTTTTCAGTGACTCCATTTTCTTTCTTCAAAGCTGGCGGCGTTGTTGTGGGGCGCAGTCATGGCTAAAGCTGGTTTTAGAAGCCACGTTATTGGTCAAGCCAGCTATATTACCGTATATATTGGGCTCGTTATTTTTTTTAAAGTAGCCACCTTATCCCCTCTAATATCACCAGGGTTGCTTTACTATCTTTATATTCTCAGTACATGTGCGTTTTTCTTGAATCGTTCCCAATTTCCCTCTCCTGTATAGTGTTTTTAATGTGTTCATCATACACTTGTATTACACTTTCCTTGTTAATAGGATTAATCCCTCAGCGTTGACATGATCCGATTCTTGTCATGCGTTAATTTGACAGCCTTCTTGTATGTCCTTCGTACTGATAAGGCAGTTCTAATTGAATAATAATCAATACATGCGGTTAATTTGATCTGATTCCAATTTAATCCAATAATTTGGGCGATCAGTTCTGCGCCATACAAGGACTCACTAGCACCTTATCTATCTTTTGTTACACTCTATTAATTGTTGCAGAAGGGTCCTCAAATTTCTCCTATTTCCACTTATAAATAAGGGGCTTGTTACATCAGCACCCACCACACGATCCTCCGTTCTCTTTCAATACACATACGCTGCAGTGGATATGAGTGCATAATGCCTGTCATATATTATTATGAAATGTAATAATTGTATTTGTTTTGAGGGATCTGAGTAGCGTTATCAGCCTGAGTAATGTTATCGTGTAATACTCCCGCCTGTACCTGCAACAAACCTCTGACAATTGTCGGTGTCCTGCTAGTCCCGGCCAGACCCTCTCTCTCTTTCTGGGTCTCTCTGTGACCGGGTATACCCTGAGCGGCGGAGCTGCCTTCAGGTTCGCTGCCCTAAATCCTAATCGCATTAGAGGGAGAAGGGAGTGAAGCCGTGCGCTCCTCAGTCGCAGATAAGCTCGTTTGAGTTTTATACTTTCAGTCGATATTGTTTTCAATGTTTTTTGGACTGCTAAACATGTACTGCACATTTTTGAAAAGTAGTCCTCTTTTGTCAGCTCTTGAGATTATGGTTTTGAAGGATTTTGCCTGAAAGATTGTCAGTTTGAAATGTTCAGTTCTAGATTCGTGATACTTTGATAAGTAAATGAAGAACGTGCCCGTAACATTTGTGATATGTTGTTCTTATTGGTCATCTTCCGTTGCGTCTCAACTAAGAACACAAGCCACAACATGTTTCACCAAGTTTAGTTTGAAGCAAATCTTGACCGTTCATAGTTTTGTTCTTCGCCCCCATTCCAATTATAAAATCATCGTTCCTCTAGAAATATTTGAGTTGACCAGTTTGCCAGTTATGTTGTGAACCAGGACATGGTCATCCTCCATGACATATAGTTCAATATAATGTTATACGTTCAAAGTCTATAGTTTAACCATCGTAACCCTTTAGTAAAACAGAGTTTTAACGGTCTCTAAAGATCGGTTTAATATGGTGTCCTACTGTGCCGGCTGCAATGGGAAAATTCACGACAAATTCTTAATGAAGGTGAGCAATTATATTTATATTCAGAACTTTATTACGGTTTTCCGCTTTAACGTTCTCAAATTATTGCTATCATATTATGTGGTTGTCTGTATATCATCGTTAGAATTATTTCCGTATATTCTGTGCTTCACCCAAAATCCAAATTCATGATGATCCAGCTGAGCCGGATTACCGGAGGAAGGTGTCAAAAGGTTGCAAACCCTGGCCTTTCAAAATGTTTTCACCTGATAACACTTATTCCCTCCAGGTTCTTGACAAAACCTGGCACAGCGATTGTCTGGTTTGTGTTGACTGTGGCGCAGTTTTAGCTGACCAGTGTTTCACCCGCAACGGCAAGTTCTACTGCAACAAAGACTTTGAAAAGTAAGCAAAAAACCGCTCCAGCATTCATTATATCCCAGCAAAATTCTTTCCGGGCGTCCACATGTTTTCTCACAACTACATCCAGGTTTCTAATGTTATGTTTGCTGAGCAGGGGTGCTGAGCAGGGGGTAACTCAGTAGTCTAGACTCAGTATCGGGTCAGGGGACAGTAGGCCTCTAATTGGGGGTCACGTCACATTATACCGATATTCAATACTCTCCTTCAGCTCCCTTTTTAACGACAGCTGACAGAGGGGCTGGAGAGCTCTGCTCGATGTACTCAAGTATTATAGCGAGCAATGCATAACCAGAGTGTACCCGGCTAAAGCTAAAGAGCTTTAGGGGGTTTAAGTTTTTGGAGCGCTCTCTCTCTCTCTCTCTCCTTCTCTCGATTTAACCCGTTCTAAGGAATAAGCACTTGTAGAGTTTGTCGATAAGGGGCTGTGTTCCTAGTCTCCTAAAACCGACAGTTTTAGACATAATTGGCATTGAAATGAGTCAGTAAAGATCTAAGGAGTATTCAAGAATAAGTAAAGGGATAATCTTTTTCCGCCGAACTCGAAGCTTGAACGTGTGGCGAGAACCACCGATGTTTTCTTCGAAAAAGCTTGAGATAAAAATAATTATCCATAAATTCTGGGAAAAAAGTTCGATGCTGCTTGCCCCTCCTGACTTTAATACACGTTCCCCACCAATAGGAGCCAGGCAAGTTCGTGCGGATCCTGTAAGAAAGATATTACCCCAGACGATATGATTCTCAAACCTCCCAACACAATCGGGATGTTCCACGTCAAATGTTTTACCTGCTCCAAGTGCTGCAGACAGCTTGAGGCGGGGGAGGAGTTTTATACCATCGACAACAAGAAGTTCTTGTGTAGCAGAGATTTCAAGAACCAGCGATCCGAGGCTGTCAGACCAGGTAAGATTAAGATTCAAAAAGTCAAGTTGGCATTTAAGTTCACTTAATTTTAATGAGTTACTGAATTAAAGATTTTAAGCTAGATTCCATTTCTAGAATTAAAGATGATGCTATAGATTGTGAACTGCAGCAATTTAGCTGCAGTTTTTAGATTTACGCCATTTTACTTATAGTTCTACTGTCATGTATTTAAAGATTTAATACCAGCGTTCAAAGTGCTCATTTTGACACATTACTAAAATTGACCACGCTTCCTTGTCATATTTTAGACACCCATGTACACTTGTCTCACAGTATTGCTTGAAAATTGGAGTGCAATCCTTGACATGAAATTCTCTGAAAATAATGCTAGTTTCAGAGCTGAACTCTAATTTTATTTTACATACCCGCAGTAAAAAAAATATTTTAGTGCAGTCCGAGTCAGGTTATGAACCACCTTAGATTTGCTGTTAGCTCTCTCTCTCAGTCACTCTCTCTCGCCAGCCAAATTTGATTATAAAACAACACAAATTCGATAATTAGGTGTAAATTCACAATACAAAAAGTAGTTTTTAATCCACATTTTTCGTAATTTTATTGTTGAGCATACTCAAATGATAAGATCCAAGTAGACACGACATCACACCAAATATTGGCCTGCCATATTATTGACTAGAGAGAAGAGCTGGTGTTTTCAGAGCTGGTCTGCTATCGTAATGTAATAGAACTTCCTGGTACCGTCCTAATGTCTTTATCTTTTCTCCAAGGAATTGTGGGGCACCAGGCGTGAACAAGTAAAAGAACAGCAGAATCGCTCTAAACAAAGGAGAAAATACCTCATACCAAATGTATGAGTGGAGCCCAAGTGGCTGCCTTGATTTGAAATTCGCGCTTTTAAGATCACTTAAAAACCGGCTTATCAGGTATATTGAACCGGGGTTCCACAGCCAGCCTAGCTGGTTTCCCAGAATTGTACACCATTTCCGGCCATATGTCACCCTCTTTTTTGTCGCAGATAACGAGGTTCACAGCACGACGAGCGACATAAAACCGACGGTGAGCGGCGGCGCCCTTCCGACGGCCCTGTCGGAACCGTACCCCACCCCTCCTGCCTCCTGGGCCTCACCTCCCTCTGTCTCCCCCGCTCACCTCTCCCCTAACACCCACTCTCCTCCTCACGGCATGGTCAGCACTACTGTGCAGGACCAGTCTCCCGGCAGCGACATGATACAGGTTTGTTACCCACTTAGTACTGGTCACTCTCTGTACCCTCCAGTGTCCAGCAGGGTCGCATACCCAGAAATTTTGAATTCTATCGTTAGGTTCCATGTTTCTTTCGCACATGTTTCTTTTGGGACATGTTTACGATAAAGGTAATTGCGAGGTCTTGATAACTCTAATTGGGTTAAATTCCTGCAACAATCGGTCAGATTGTAGGCGTTTTAAACACGAAACCGAAAACACCCAGGAAAATAATTAACTCGTTTGATTGCTATCATATCATTGCTATCAATATCATCCGTTCAGAGGACCTTTCTCTTTCCTCCTAATAACTAACATGGTGTTCTCTCTCAGGAGCCGATAACCGAGTGTGAAGTTTCTGGTAAAGTTAAAGTAGAGGGAGGAATGTCAGAGCCCTGCTCAGAAGATCAAGGAGTAAACAGTCCTGAAACATCCAACTCACAGGTATGAGAAGGAGTAATGTAGGATATCCTAGAATATTAACTAATGAAATACAGTTAAGCTATGCTGGCCGTTGGGGACTATAGTATATACCTCCACTTATTATGGCGTTATGCCATTTTAAACTACTTTTCGGACATCAGTAGGGTCCTAAAAAATGACAGCTGCTTTAGATTAATGCAAATTGTATAATGTATAACTATATTTCTTTGAAACTCAGATATATTTGATGACATAATTATCATAGCTTTACTGAGCCTGACTTTTTAAGCTTGAGTTGTTTCTCAAACCAATAAAAATGCAGTCCCATCATGTGGCCTAACTTCTTTAAAATTCCTACTGCTTAAATGAACAGTCTTCATCACAATCAAACCCAATTAATAGGTCTTCATCACAACCCATTCCAATTAATAGTCCTCTTAGCGAACACATTCTGCTAGAAATCATGACGTTCTCCAACTCGGATTATCCTACCAGTCACTCTCCATAAGTCCTCATTTGTCCCGTTACATTAATCTGATTTAATCTGCCAATGCTGGATTTTAATACCTGGGTCGTACATTAAAAAAGGTAAGTGCGCACTTTTGGGGAACATTGGTGCAATCTGTCGCGGGAACTGTCTTCTGAACGTAGCCCAGATTCATACTACCTTACTACCTCGACAAATGTGTCCACTTAAGCTTAGATATCCGTGAACTTGGCTGGGTGAAATCTATTCCGATACCGGATACTCTCCGCTCTCCGGAAAACGTGGAGACAAATGTATAACCGCTATATAGTGACTTCATGATTAATAAGTGATAGATTATTATAGTCAGTATATCGACCAGGCACAGCTACAACTAACCTCTAACGTGCACTGTGTCCCCACAGCCACTCAATACTGACTTTCAAACTCTTTCAGGTCAGCACAACGACGGGTAAAAGACGAGGTCCCCGAACGACAATAAAATCAAAACAGTTGGACATCCTAAAAGCAGCCTTCAAATCAAACCAGAAGCCCACACGGAACATCAGAGAGCAGCTGGCCACGGAGACCGGTCTCAATATGAGGGTCATCCAAGTGTGGTTCCAGAATCGTCGTAGTAAGGTGAGAATCGTCTATTAACCTTTAATTGACCTCCATTTTAATATGGTTAATTCCACGCACTTGTTTGATTCTTTTGCTGGTTGAATTAAATATTCATAAGACACTTGGTAACACCTATGGACCACTATTGTTAAATCGTTCCCCTGAAGCTATCTTTCGACCTGTCATGACTAAAATTCTTTGGCGTAATCCACTAATTCACCAAAACTCCAGTATGTCTCGAACCGTTGGCCACTAAAAATTCCCCCTAATAGTTCACCTTAACTTCCTATGGATTCCTATTCCTGTATCTAATGGTAATGAGGCCCTGTAAATTTCCACCTGATCGAATAACTTTCAGAACCACTGCTTAACAAGACCTCGCCTTTTTGACATTTCCGTTTGATTTCACCGTTGGCGTTAAACTTTGTGATTGGCCGGAATTGTGTTACCATCTCCACTGTAACACCTAGTGGAGCGCAGGGAGCTATCTGAGATATGACTCAAGGTGTATTGTAATTCAGATTACACATGATTGATAAGCGAGTTAGAGGTGCTAACTGGGATTCAGTTGCCGGTCAGTGCCGGACCGGACAGGATGTGACAGCGTCACACTGCACATTCCAACTATATTGTCTCCATACTGGCTGTATTGAAATGATTTGGAGTTCTCTGACCAGATTCTCGGTCAACGAATACATTGTTACAGATCAATAAGATTGGCTTTCACTGTAAATACCACTAATTGACAATCCTTAATAGAAATCCAATTAGCCACTCTTAAGTTTCGGGCTGCATTCCTATATAGCTGTATGTTTTGTTTCGGGTTCCAGTCCGGTCCACTATTATTATCTCCCAGCACAGCATCCCCGCTCACATGACGCCCTGTTATTCCTCAAGCTGGACATATCCGTGATCACGTGACCACCATTAACCTGCATTATCCTCTAATCCCTAGCTTAAGAGGGCGTGGGTCGCCCTCCTTGCATGTAAATGTGTATTCTTAATGCAAGTACATGATACTTAGCTGTATTAAGTAGTGTTAGGTATTTACTTCCCAGAACACATTTTATAATTTTCTCGTTTTCGATCTTTAGAAACCGAGCCTAATAGAATAAAGTAGCATTCAAAGATTTAAGGTGGTCCGCTTCTAGCATTCTTTGGATATTTCAACATAGCCCATCACGATCTAACAGTGCGTCTGACGGGAGGTATTAGAATAAATTCGGGCGCTGCTACTGCCCGCCAAAATCATCGAATCATGTACAATAAAACTTTAAATGCTAGGCACCCAACAGTGGCTTCTTTGTCTACTAGTGTTACAGAGCAAATCTTTTGAAAAACTTGCCCTTTTGACACGACGAGTAGTCACCACCAACTATTGTAGAGCAATCACGTGATATTTAAGAGCGCACACGTGATGATATCACGTGCTCGCCCCATTGTCGTCCTCTGCTGTAGTGCGACTCTTAGAATGATCACAATAGCATGTCACCAAGGACTGGATCCTGTACTGTGATTGGTCCTTTTGTAGAGCCATTGCTTCGACACCCAAATTACATGTTTTTTTCAAATTCTACATGATCAAGAATCAAGAATTCGATAAGTAAATTGCACGGCCTATTAATGTAATGCTAAAGTAAAAATATTCAACTAATTCGTTCTTAAGAGATTAAATGGTTTCAGTATCCAAAATTTGATCAAATAGCCGACAGGGCGAGAATCTGAAAAATAGCAATGGGGCTCCTTCAAAGGATACACTCATGTGGAACTTTCCAGTTGCTTTGCTCATAATCTTGCTTTCAATCTGCCAACAGATCCCTTACTTAGGTGGTGGTGCGGTAATGTTTTTCCTGTCACTGCAATTTTATATTTAGGTTTTAAAACCTTCTTATCTCAGGAAAGACGAATGACTCAGATGAAACTAGCCAACAGGGGAAGATATGGAAATCCTCTCACCAGAGACGACGAATTTAGTTTTCAAGGTAAGTTTAGATTTGACAATTATTTAAAAAACCTTTTATATTTTGATTTTTTTTGCAAGTCCACCACCACATCACCCATAAAACATTATGCAAAAATTAGGTTACTGTTAAGGTGCCTGTAAACATCTTTAAATTCGATTAAATACCCTCGTTAGAAAATCGGAGGAGTTAAGTACTGCTTAATTAGGCGGTTACACAGTTATAAACACAGCACTTGAAGCCACCCGAGCCCCGTGATTAGTCTGAAAATCAGATGATCACCGTTCTAATCATACCTTGAAGCGAAAACTCCGTCTCTACCATCAACTTTAGCTAGTTGTTTGGCCACATTTTAGCAGATTTTAAGATTTTCATCACGAAGTAACGGCAGGTTGAACCTACCACAGTACTTTTTTACCTCTCATGTGCCCTTTCTTTCCAAATTGACGTTTTTCGTGCGGGATTTTTATCACGAGTTGTAGGAGAGAAGATGAGGTTTGAAGTGTGAAGTGTGGGTTGCCATGTGGGAACAGCCGTGTGAATCTGCGGAGAAGGAGTTGATGAAGGAGTTCGGTGATGTGGCTGCTGTCTGAAACGCTACAGTGCGCAAGACTTTAATTTAATCTTTTAATCAATCCAGCGCTTTTAAAAGAGTTGTTTTAAACGCGTGCTGACGTGTTGTTTATACATTTAACACTAGTCTCACACGTGCAACTAGTCTCACACGTGCAACTAGTCTAACACGTGCAGCATCTAATTCTGTTGTGGTATTTTTATCTTCAGCTAGAAACCAGTGACCAATCCCACAGTGAATATCCAGCACTGTACTGTTTATGTTATTCAGTAGACCATCTAAATTTACGGGGCCTCTTAGAGATCATTGATCAACGGTAAATTGCATGGTAAATCGAGGTACGATTTACACTAACTTACACATAAGCTTATAATTGTAAGGGGGAAATCATGCCCATGTCTAAATAATTTTCGATCTTCCGTACTTTTACGGAGCAGAATATTGTACAATATTAAAATCTCAGCAATGTGTCACATGTATTTGTGCAAGGTAAAATTAGCGTTAAAAACATTTCTGATGACTGATGAGATTACCGCACATTCGAATCCACTTAGTTCCTCTAGTAACACATAATCCCCGCATGAACTGTCGAGCTAACACTTGCTCCGACAGCCCTATCACGTGGGCTCTCACCTCGCCCCCCATTGGTGGGAGGGTATTTTTTGACGGTTTTGATTGGTTGGGTCCTATACGATAGTTTGGGGGAGCCTGTCCGGGATGCAATTACCAAATCATAGCTGCGAAACAAAACTGATTAGACTATGGGGGCTATGTGTACATTTTCGATACAAACTGTATCACTGTGAATGAGTGAATCGTACATTATAAAGTTATAATCCTTAGATCATTCATAATTCTGAGATTTTTAAGAGTACAAAGTATTGGGGGGGGGGGGGGGGGAACATTGTCTTCGTTGGCTCAGGGCATCAAAAGTTTTTGCCATGGTGATTGGTGACAGTGTGGATACCAGGCAAATTGTTCAGAATTTTGAATTCTAAAATCAATCCCGTAATATTTTCCATAAATTAAGTTCTGCAATAAATCATTTGCATCATGATATAAACTGATATCAGCTGTTCTCATAACTTCCCTAGAGTTAGAGGCCCTCTGATAATTGCAACCCCACTAGTAGCTGCTCTGATAATTGCCATCTCACTAGCATCTGAGTGTGACTGGAAGTGGTAGATTAAAATAGCATTTATGCTTACGTTTGCTCTCACTCCTTGTAAATCTTATTCAATCACAAGACGTCTAATACTGCATGCTCTTAGCAGTTCATACTTCAAAGCTTCTCAAACAGTTGACCCGTGATACCTGAGAAGTTCTCTGTTATAAGATTGTTCGCATGAAATTTGACATACGGAGCTGAGAAGTATGCCAAGAGTCATCGTTATTACGGAGGTCACAAGGTTCAAAGGGTTGCTCTGCAATGCACGTGGCTCGGAATGTGTTTATGATGTGTCTACTTCTAGTCTGATAATCTACAGGTTGTACCTCTTTACTCAACCTGGGAACTATGAACTAGACACAGACTATACCTTGGCTCAGAGCACGCTTCACTGGACACAGTTCAAGGGGAGCTGTTTGACAGGGTGTTGTCGCCGGACCGTGGAGGTGAATGCAGTGCTGTGGAGAGTCTAACTTAAGCGTGCAGTCTGTACCACGTGATCAGGTCATGGTCAGTAGAGCGGTACTCCACCACCACCACCTTGCTACTACTAACATCAGAGCCACTGTATCACCCCCGCCACCTGGCTACAACAACAGCTACCAATTATTGTATTAAACTGACGCCCCTCACGTGTCGTGGTGTAGCTGTGTTAGACCGGGATTCAGGCACCATGGCTAGCGTCGAAATACACGTGGGGTTCCGACCCCTACATTCCTAGCCCTGTTGTCATGACAACACCTATTTCTTAAATTGTCACTATATCAGCAAACTCCCACGCTTCCTCCTAGAATAGTAACCATGGTAACTCAAACCATGTCTCTTGATCTGTTACCATAGCAACCGAACAAAGATCAATACATATATATAATAACCTCAGCTTGATAAAAATATATAATATGACAGTGAGAGTAACAGATGATTACATACTTTTAACTTACAAATGTAAGTTTCCAACGTTGCAAAGTGCTCAACTAATATGTATCAGTAGCTATTATAATTAGGACTGAAAATTAATAATTTACTTTACACTAGTACTAGTGTAAAATAGCCTGAAATAGCCTCAAAAAGTGTAAAAAAGCGACATTTTTTTCTCACCAAAGGTTTGTTTTACCTTTGGAAATGTACTACGTGAAGACTGATTGGAAAATAATAGGAAAAAAGAAGATTTTTAGGAGATAATTTTGTTAAGTGTAATTAAAAGTGTAAAAAAGTGTAAAATAGTGTAAAATAGTGTAAAATAGTGTAAAATAGTGTAAAATAGTGTAAAATAGTGTAAAAAGTGTACCTTTTTTTACTTCACTTTTTACTACACCATACACCTGCCTACCCTGCCTAGGTCGATCCAGATGAAATCTGGAACGAGTTTCGTGCCAACGCTTCTCTCCATTTATCCCTATCACACATGAGTAAACGCAGCTGGTCAGGTTCCATTCCAGTGTCTTCAAGTAGGACGTCCGGGAAGGTCTTATGTGGTCGTCCTCGATAACGCTGGCCAAATAGCTGTCCTTCTCCATACACAAAAGAAGGCAAAAGTGTAGTGTAAAATAGCGTAAAAAAGTGTAGTGTACAAATAAACGATGAATTTCTAACTAACAGTAACAATTGTCTAGAGTGGCGACATTTTGAGATAAGCTCTGATCTCTCATTTAATGAGCTATGGTTCTTTAAGATGTAAAGCTTTTTATCGAGACAAAGATTGCAGTGCCCGCCCCGCCGTGTAGCTATTAGCTTATTAGATTTAGTCACAGTTTCTAGTATGTGGTATAATACTTTGTATTTTTCACCTTTAGGTCCCATACAAAATACCATCGGTTTTAAAAATTGTCCTCGGTTTCTGAGAATTCCTTCATCCTTGCTCGATGTAGTTTGCCTGATTTTACTAAAGACTGTCTATTCATTTAATATTATAATATGATCTCCCATATGACCCCATATTATCTCCATCAACTTTATTTTCTGCGGAACTTGTTGAGCTTTACTATATAATATTAAATGAATGACTCTAGGATAATCAGGCAAACTACAAGTACATCGAGCAAGGAATTCTCAGAAATAGAAATAGCCGAGGACAATTTTAAAAAACGATGGTACAATTATATAAATTGCAAAAGACCTCCGCCCTCACGACTTCTGCCCTCGTGACCAATTCCCGATCATTTATCGATGGCATGGCCGTTCAAAAAAACGTAAACGTTAAAACATGTCACCCGACGTCCGCTGCAATACAATCGCACTATTCACGAACTCCCTCTCGTCAGGTCAGATTTACAATTTAATCACATTTATTAACACAGCCATTACTTCAGATCACTATTTCCGGAACCCAGCAGAGTGCTACTACGGTGACCTCCACCACCACCACCACCCTGACCCCACCTCCTACATGCAGTGTCTACCTCTCCCCGGGATGGACCAGCCTCCCCGCTCACTCGATCACCACGACCCTTGGGCCAGGGTCTCCCACGCCTTCGACCCCACTCTCAACCCCCAACATCACGCGGGGCTAATGGCCGGTTATCCAACCACCCCCGGGCTCAGTAGTTCTTGGCAAAGTGCCATATCTCCTGACTCAACCAACCAGGTAAATATTTAATATGTCATTTTATGTTCGGACACCATCGTCTTTTCATGACAGGTCTAGGTCTTTCTATTAATATAATTTTCGCATCATTAAGAATTCATATACAATATACTTATGAATGCTAATTTACAGTGAATTAATATTAATTTTAGTCTCACCAAATCATAACTTTCAGATTGCATTTCAAACATGAACTACAGTTGTGGTCGTGAACTCATCACATTGAACTAAGCCAACTTGCAAGTTTGTGGACAATTGTATTGTGTAAAAGATGCTCAAAAGACGCTCGAAGGATGCTTAGCTCAAAACAAAACTTGAACTCACAGAAATTCATGAGAAAAACTTGATTAATTTATTATTTTATTTTAAGTCAACAACTGTTTAAAGAGGACAGATCAGAATTGAAATTTTAACTTTAATGACGATTGTTTCAGTTATATTTCGTCAAACATTTTAATTAGATTTTGGCTTTAATGAAAAATCATTCTGGCACCTTCTCTCGCAAATATTGCAGATTGTTTCTTAGTTGGCTAGAAATGTTCGCTTTACTTAATATTTTGCTTTGCTGATACAGTTCAAGCAGGACAAAAAGTAACGACACTTGATCGAATTATGAAATATTGAGTGAATAACATCACTCAGTATATCTTATACTGACAATTTAACTGAAAACAATAAAATTATCTTTTACCCAGTCATCAATCTTGGGGAATACTTAACACATTTTGTTGATTTGAATTATATTTTAACTGATTTATTTTAATATTAATGTAAATATTCTTTGATTATGCGTTTGCTGACTGTTGGCATTACCTTGATATGGTTGTTTAATTTCTTATTTATAAATAGCATTGCGACAAGTATGAATGTAATCAGCAGCAAGTAAAGAATATGGTCATCATGGCGCAATATACAACTTTTTCGTAAGTAATGTCGTATGGAACATAACATGGTAGAATGACCCATTCTTTTCCAGATAAAATCCGTAATCCTTTACAAAACAGTTTAGTTCCTTCTCCAAAGTCTGAATACACTGAATCGTAGAAAATTTAATGAACAAACCGTAAATTATTGGTCACTCTCTGCGGCCGGCTCGCTACTCTCGGTAAAAACTCTCCCGTTACTGTTCGAATCATATATATTATCTCATCCGTCACGTCCGTCACTTCCGTTCAATTTGGTGTGGATTACGGTGGCATAAATAACTACGGGATCCGTTTGATTTGTAAACTCGACTGCTCCTTAAACTTAAAGTCCACTTATCTGATCTGATAGATCTCCTTTAAAATAGCAATATTGGGATCAGCAGACGGGGGACTAAGTGAAGCTTCCCTGTCCCAGGAGGACCTCTTCATCTCGGCTGCCAGGAACCCGTGATAAGAGATGGGAGTACTGAAGTTACTCACACTGTGTTTCATATGGTGGTTCTTGGATGCTTGCAGATCGTGAGCTGTTTGGAGGCTGGGATGTGAGTTGGCTCGCTTGATTGCGGCGAAGGATTCTTTGTGTTTCTCAATTTGTTGTTGGAGAACTACCTTGGTGTTGGTGGATGGTCGTATGTGCCTGAAACAATTGTGTTAGCTGAAAAAATTGGGAAGATTCCAACATTTACATATCCAATTAATAGATTTTTCAGAATGAAGCTCTCGAATTGTCTTTTTCCATTTCCAAGCCCACAAAATTGAAAAAATCCAGTACATTCTCAAGCTGAAGGAAACCACGCAATTACGTAACAACCACACTGTGGTTGAGCTCGGTCGCTTTTGAAGCCGTCATGATCAGAATAAAGCTATGATCACTCATTGGGATCAATGGGTATAGAATTAATAAGTTGGATGGTTGTGAATCCACAAAAATCCAGAACATAATTCCCATGGTGAGCTCATTTTCTGGAACTTTAGTGAGAGGGTCTCCATCACAATAAAAATTGAATGGTTTATATACTACATGATAAAAGTTAAAGCAATTTTATCATTTTGGTCAAGTTTCCGAGAAAACGTAGCAACAGCCCAACAAGAATTTATAATAATTGGTGGAGACTTTCAGTCTGGTTACGGAATACGGTATCATTCTAGTTGTAAAAATACATCTATGGCTTACTTTATGAAGGAGCACCTTGTGTTACTATTCAAACAATAGGTAAACATATGTCTTAGATTGATACTTTTATGTCTGAGAAGAGACAATTTATTAACGAAGACTTCAAACTAGATTTTAATGAAGCTAACCTGAAGTAATATTTAATATTATTTCGATTGATTTATTGGATATATTGAAAATGTGTCCCTAAAACAGTAGGAGAAACTTTGCCACCAAGAGAACGTGTTTAAAAAGTCACGTGACAGTCAAGTGTAGAGTGATTAATCATCATTCATATAAACTAATAAGATTGATTGGGCTGATTGAGGGACCCTGTTAACTTGTTAACTGTGAGAGAGGCGGGTGTTACAGTTATTGGGGAGTTATCCGAATATTTCAGTTTATACGTGATGGCCTACACCAATTTACACAAAAGGGTAGTCTTGAAAGTAGCCGTTCGAAAGATTTAAAAACAATTAATAATTACCTGGAGTGCGAGTTTTTGATTCTCTGCAACTTCTTCTTATTTGGTTCACTTCCCATCCCATCTGTAGGCTCAACAACTGGCAGTGTTGCGTTTGCGCTGTTTGCATCTTTCCAGATCTGATCCATGTCGACTACTCTCTTGTTAGTCGCACCGTTACTAAAGACAGAGAATATGGTTCTACTATCGTAGTGCGGCGGATCTAAGCTCGTTCCCTGCAACAAATGATTTGTCAGACAATTGAGACCTGAATATTTTGTGGTGAAATCATGCTGATGCAACGTTACGTCATGGACAGCGTTAAGATCTATCACGAATCCGCTGTGGAAATTAATTAATTTAGCAGATTATCATTAATGCCCGTTGTGCGCCATGAGATCATCAAAATTGGTGAAGTCCTTGGGTGGTCCAGTCTGCTAACTTGTAAAACTAGATTAGCACTGAGTACTCGTGAGCAACATGATTACAAACTCCCACTGGCACTATCCTTTCTATTAGTATTACATCATTCCACATTCAATTCGAGTTAGACGCATAATTATTGAAGTTTAAAGAACAGTATGGCCTTCATTTTCTTTACATGTTTTAAAAGAAGTTGATAACTGGTAATCGTCTTAAAGAAAAAATATGAAATTGTATTCCATGTCTTCAGATCCTTCATTCCCCATATTTAGCGTCAATCTTCGCTTTTACATTCTTTTCTTTAGGAACGAGGTGTGTCACATTGTAATTTGGATGAGAATATCTATTCTTCTCAAGAGCGTCGATGACTGTTCTGTTGTATGAAATGTGGGAAGCTTTCATCAATTTAGGCTTATTCTTGGAACCCTTGTCGCAGCCAGCACATTTAGCGGTGAGATTACTTTTATTAGAGGCTTGCTTAATAGTCTTACTTTTATGTTTAGGACCATCCGCAATGATTCGTTCCCAGTTATCCTCAGCTCTTCCAGTAAGATTGAGTGCTGTTTGGTAAGGAGTTTTGGAGGGGTACCTTTTTAAAGTTTCACTTCCAGTTCCAGACGTACTGAATTGGGCCATGTCTTGTTGAGACGATGACAGTGTACTGCTGTCATGAGTTGATCTAGAACTGTTTGAAACTGTATGCCGGGTGAAAGGAGAGTCACTTTTTATCCGGTCTTCAACATCTTTCGTGGTAACTTTGATAGTTACCACCCTATCCTTCTTTCTGATAGCAGCAGTGATCTCCATAGTGTAACAATTTATTCACCAGCAGCGCTAAAATCTCTTAATATCATTAAACTTAAAATCTGACTATTAATGAAGAAAAAAAATTGAAGACTTTTTATTGCTAATCGAGTGCACGTGCAAATTGGTTTTTTTGGTAATGCCATGGTAACACTAACTAAAATTATTCCAAATTTTACTTTTGAAATGTTCACCATGTTTATCGGTTTTTGTCGTGCGGATACTGGGTTAGTTATAGGAAGCCCTTATTGAGATTTAAAAATATCTCGTAACTCAACAAAATTTAGACGCTTACATTTATACTATTACAAACATGCAACTTGTATTCAGTCAATGTTGCAGTTGTACAGTAAAATTATTGGATCATTCAATTCAACTTAGAAACAGTTTTACAGTATATTGAGTACGATGAGTCCAATGTTCATTATCAACCATAAACTGCACATTGACAACTTACATGGAACTTCTTTTCAAAAATGTCCGTGTCGATGTCCATTGTCCGATCGAAAAATACAAAAGCGTAAACGTTTTAGGTGAAATGATTTTTGAGGCAGCAAGAATGTTTAACTGTCCAATCTTGTTGCATTATTGAAAAATTTTGGTCAAGCATTCGTCACGTGAATGTTACAGTCATGCAAGTTGGTTGACCGAAACCAATTTAATTAGCCACATAATAACAATTACATTTCATCTTAAATTGATATTATTTAGTTAGCATGTCATAGTGCATCTACCTTTCTCATTTTATTGGTCACTGACTCTTCGTCTCGATCCTCTGTCACTGACCACGGATTGAACGAATCGATATCAAATTGAAGTCCCATGGGTACTCTGTTGGATCATATGATCAGTCAACAGGTTTCATCAGTAATTAAGTATTGGATAGGATTCAAAACAATGAATTATTCTAATTTTTGTGCAATTTTAACTAACTATAAGTGATATGAAAGAGAAATAATAACTTTTAAAAGAAATAAAATAGTCACTTTCGGATAATATCTGAATAGATTAGATTTTTAAAAGCTTATGCATGGTTAGGCTTTACCTGGGGACCTCAGGCTATCATGTTCATAAACATAGAGATTAGGCGGAATGACAGGCTGAGCGCGGCCCAGTAAGGTTAGGCTGAGATTGCAGACGTTCAAATATTTTTTACAGGGCCATTTTTTATATCGGTCAAATACAATTGTGTACCAATTTTCATCTCCAAAACCAATGTCAGGTTCAAATTATCATGAAGGCAATTCGTCTAGAATTGTTAAAACAGTTCTAAGATCATGGAGAGAGAAGCTATTTGCCAGTGATAAAATATTCAGATTATTTGGAAAATAGTCTAAATATTTGTATAAATCGACAGGCTCAAGAAATCCGCCAAAAGTGACTGTAAAAGTATAAACTTAACCTTTTAGTAGAAGAAGTAAGATAATAAAAGTGTAAGCAATAAAGTTTTGAAAAAGATTTACAATTTCCATACAAACTTACGAGTTTATCGTTTGGCAAAGTGGTTGATCGCGACTGGTCGACTAAAAATCCAATTTGTCAACTTAACGAAGTAAGTGATCAAATTGGAACAGTTAGTACAGATAACAAAATGAATAGGTAGCATAATAGTAAAATGTTGCCATTTACATGCCTCGTTTATTAAAAATAGAGCTGATGCACATTTCCGCTTTTTAAAATCACCATGCTAAGTAAAGTAAAAATGCATACTTTCATTATCGAATTATGATGGATTTCTGGCCGAATAAGTGAGATTGATATTGTAATACTTAAATATTACCGGTAACATGTAAATGTTGTTATAATTCGAGTGAATCAAGATTCATGATCAACAGAAATTCGTTTAAAATAATGGAAATTCGTGACTTATTCACATAATATTGATCAGTCTAAAACACACAAGCTCGAATCGGTATAACTAAGTATATACTTTACTTATACATATTCTTTCTAATATTACTCAAGATTAAATTGAGCAAGAAACCATTCGGATACTATAGCAAAAATAGGGTATTGTTCAAAAATAAAATCGAGTTTAATTTTAATTTATTCACGACTAGAAAATCAGTGCCAATCAGAAAACGTGATCACCCTTATAAAAGCTGAACAACAGGTTTTTGCACGAAAAGAATAAACTGGATGATCACAATATGATGAGTTAACAATATCTGACACACAATTAAAATAAAATTCAAACAAGTAGTTATTCAAGTAGGTAAAGTAACAAGTAGAACTCGTCTAACAACCCAAACAATCCAAACTAATCGCTCAATAAAAGTGACAAAAAACGCGCTGCGATTTGACACTATTTAAATGTAAACAGTTAAAAACCTTTTGTCCCGGATGATCTACAAAAAATTCGTAAGCTATATCAACCGAAGTTTACAGATCGTGACATATTCACAAATCATGTTGCCTGCTTGATTTAAACATGGGCTATATCGATCTGCTAACATTTTACCGATGAGTCTATGAGTAGCTCGTTTCGTGGTGGCTAATGATTCTATTGGAGCGTCATGCATATGATTTGCGGCAACAGGATGGATTGTACTGTTAATATCCGGAGGTACCTGATTTAACATTTAAATTGAATATATTATTAAATTCAAAGCATACCTTTGTCTTCACAGATGTATCATTCAACGATTCGTTGTCGATGTTCCCCATTTTGGTGAGGGTCCTTTCAAGCTTTTGTATCAACGCATCCATGTTATCAGCTTAAACGAAACAATGGTCAACAATCTACTTAAAGTAAACCGCACCACTTTATTATCATGCAAAATGTTAAGTTTTAAAGTCTAATGGAAATTGAAATCTGTTCCATTTCATTTAATGGTCTCCTCACGAAACCACGACTGGCAATAGCTTTTATATTTATTGATGGTAACAATTTAAATTGGCCGCCCTCAAAAACGCCGTCTAGCCGTCTGTTCGGGTTATCATGCATATCAATATCATGATAATATGACTAATTATTGCCACTATTATACAACCGCAAACCACCACGAAGGGCTAAAATAAAGTTTCATATTGGTAAGCAGTTTACAAATTGTTGATACGTCTTTAATCTTTATATCGACATAACTTTCTATTTCTGATTTGTTGAGCTGTTGGAAAGGGCTCCTCCTTGAGAATGCTCTCCCACATAGTTATCTTTTATAACATGATCTTTATTCGTTATGAAATTAAAACAGTTTCCTCACCAGGTTAATAATACTACCTAATTAATAATTATGGTAGTTAAAAATTGGCGGTTTTAATTCGCCATATTTTTTACTGTCGGTATGTTCAAAGGGAAAAAATATTCCTATATTAACCGCCGACTCAATTTTAGATCGGAGATTTCCAAGGAAAGAGTAGTCGCAGTTAAAATCATGACCGTTAAAATGTGGTGGTTTTTCGGGCACCCCGCCATATTTTTAACGGTCATAATTTAACCCAACGAGTGCGATAAGTTTTTTTTGTTCAATAATCAATATCTTCAATGGAGAATCTCGTCTAAAATTTAAAAAATGTTCTCCTAAAAACTAGAGTTACCGAATAGTTCTGAAATTATCCAGATTTGAAGTTCGGAATCCGTTTTACTAGCCTTTCACGTGACTAAAACAGTTTTTTGTCCATGCCTCCATATAGGGAAGCGTTTCATTTACCCTGTGTGAATTTTAACGGGTGATACTCGTAAAATATTTGTTTCAAATATTAGAGTCCAACTCGGCGCGCGTCCTGGTAGGTTATAAACCTACAATGTGAGTTGTGCACTGTGCACTGTGCATTGTTGCCTGTTTCAATCTGTTGAGAACTAATAGTTGTTGCTGAATGTAAGCTGTTGAGAACTAAAAGTAAGAGTTGTTGAATGTTGTTAAATGTAAGCTTTTAAATTATGCATCATGATATATAACGTCACATATCTTGTTAAAACTGGTCGTTCTTCACACATCATATCATGTATGACTATTTGATATTTCATAACAACATTTCTTACTTTCATTAAATATATATCATGGTTATGACTTAATCTCATGTATTTTATTCCTCCCGGAACTTAATTCAGGTGCTGGTTGAAAAATGGTTAAAACCATGCTTATCTGACTCGGTACAAAGTCTCAAAAATTACGCAGATTGCTGTTTGTGTTCGAAACGTGTGCATGATTTAAACGTAAATAGTGGAACTAGTGTGTTGCTTAAAACTAATAATGTATCAGTACGTTGCTGCGAGGAATTTTGATATCTTGTATCGTGATTATTTCTCTGAACGATATGATCTTTTCATTTCTTAAATCAGTTGAATGAAGAGCTGATCCATTCACTGATCCAATAATAGCATAGGTCGCCTGCACTAATAAACGTATTTTAACTGCACGATCATGTACGCACTGTGCGCACAGCAGCTGTAGTCTCCTTCTCAATTAGTCAACCGACACATGCCGAAACGTACTCAAGAACCGGACACACAGTAAACTATCTAACACGTGCTACACATTATAGTTTGTACTAGCGGGACGTTATATTATAGTTATGGACGTAGTACGTACACTTGTTTGGCAAAATGATATATACAAAATGCATGCAAATTGTAAATTGCATTCCTAACTCATTACTCACTCATGGGCAGTCAGGTGTGACTTACAATGATGTTCTTTGAGTTTCTAACGCTATGTCTCATGACATAGATTTCATAAGCCAATTTTAAAGTTTAGGTATGTTATTTCTTATACTAATTGTAGTATTAAGCCCTTGGCAGTAAATATTTCTTTAGCCTTAAAGGCTGTTTATTCAGAGATCTGCAGATATACTAACATGTTGTTTAAAGTAACAGGAGTTAATAGGAATTGGGTCATTTTGAATAATAAGCCGATTTTAGAAGCTTTAGATAAAATTAATGATAATAGCTTAGCGAGAAACATCCAAACTTTTGATTTTTCTACTTTATACACGAATTTAGCCCATAAAGATATCAAGGATGCTCTCAAGTTTACTGTTAAATTAGCCTTTAGGAATAGTAAAAAGAAGTTTATAGCTGTTTACGATAAAGGGTCTGCTTGGGTTAATAGCTTTAGAGATGGGACTGTGGCTTTTGATGAAGTTAAGTTGATTAAATGTGTTGAGTTTCTACTGGATAATTGTTACTTTAAAGTAGGAGAGATCTTATATCGGCAACATATCGGTGTACCTATTGGAATCAACCCTGGTCCATATATTGCTAACTTAACACTTTGGTATTTTGAGAACAGTTTCCTAGACAGTACGTATAAAAGTAGATACTATATTGTAAAGAAGTTAAATAATACATTTAGACTTATAGATGATATTACTACCCTTAACTCTGATGGTTACTTAGAGGAATATTTTAAGTTAATATATCCAGACTCTCTTACTCTTAATAAGGAAAATGAAGTAGATAGTGCCGCCAATGTATTAGATCTTGATATTTCGATAAATAGCGAGGGGAAGTTTTCTTGTAGAGTTTATGATAAAAGGGATAAGTTTGGTTTTAAAGTGGTCAAGTTTCAACCTTTGATGAGTAATCAAGCTAGTAGTGTATTATATGGCACGTACTGTTCACAGATTGTGAGATATTCTAGGATCTGTAATAACGTTGTTGCTTTTTCTGATAGGGTTTTAAAGTTTACTGATGATTTAATTGAGTTGGGTTTTAGACGGGATCGTCTTAGTAAAATATACTTATCAGTGGTAAAGAGGCATGGGCTAAAGAATAAGTTTGGTATTGGGTGTGGAAATATATTAATGCCATAGCTTGACCTATGGCATCCTTTTCTAATGTTGCGAAATATTTGTCGCACGTGTTGAATTTAGTTTTATAATAACTTTGCAGCGGCGCAAATCGGAATTTTAGAATTACGCGGGAAATTACGCGGGAGTAATTGTAGTTTGGGTCAGTTCGTTTTATGACGTGTCGACTACGTTTACTTAGTATACTTTATCCCTACCGTTTTATTACAATTTTTACTTTATCTAGGTACCTATCACTATACAGTATACATATTTAATCTTAAATTATCATTTTAGTGGAACTATGTAAAAGGGGATCGTTGCTAGCGTTAAAACTGTTTTAACCCTGCCATATAATAATAGTCAGTTGAAAGTCTGATAGCATATGTTCCGTTTGATTTGACCAAACTAATGCCTTTCATTGCTTTATAGTGTCTGCAAGTTGGTAAGAACGATTTCAAACACAAAGATAATTAATATAATTAATATATTAAAGAAGTTTAATAATATTATGAAAGTAAGTTACAATTTTAAGTTGTTGACGATGATCAATCGAATGCATTCACCGGCAAAGGTGTCTAGTTAAGCTCTCACAAAGCAAAACAAAAGCTTAACAATTGCTTAATTCTAATTATAGTTATGAGTAAAGGAAATACAAATTCGAAACAATTTTCAGCTGCAGAAATGAGTAAATAGATATATAGGTAACGTTGCATGAGTTTGTTCAAGACAGCTACGACGTTACCATGGCAACGTAGCTGTAACTCAATACCAACCCACATCCTATATTGACGTACTCCAAAGGGACGATTAGGGCTAGGTGCGACGTGGTTCCGTTCTCTTTACTTTTAGCCTTTAGGGCGCGTGTGAAGAAAGGAGTACAGGTCATTGAAATGGTCTGCACGAGTCTCAGCGGTATTCGATTATTCTGTTTCTGATAAGATCACGTTACAACAGTACCAGTTCATTGAGCCCTGTACTGTCTGTTTTTAATAAGATACGGCTAAAACAGATGTTACAAAACTGAAAGAAGCCAAAAATTGCCACAAAACAATCTCACCGCTATAATATTCTTCAACTACAACGAGATTACTACTATTATTACATCTTGTAACAAGGTTATGATACTAAACGCCACTTTAACATCGAGTTCCGCATATGAGGGGTAAAAGTGAATACTAGAAACTTCTAGAACTAGAAGTATAATTAGTTACGACGCCGTAATCTTACTCTGAAGCAAACACAAAACGTGTGAACTGATTTTCTTCCACAGCAACCGTCAAAAGACAAGACGCGATTTGTAGGCTACATCCCTAACTTCCTGTTTCATTTGTCTTGTTTCATTTGTCCTTGTCTCTTCCAACCGGATATTATCCAACTATCAGTATATCAATCATGAGACTAATAAACAGCGAACATTCTTCAACTACAATGAGATGGCCACTATTATTACATCTTGTAACACGGTTATAATATTAAACGCCACTAATTTAACATTGAGTTCCGCATGAGGGGTAAAAGTGAATAAAATATACTAAAAACTTCTAGAAGTATAATTAGTTACGACGCCGTAATCTTACTCTGAAACAAACACAAAAAGTGTACTGAACTGATTTTCTTCCAGTTCCACAGCAACCGTCAAAAGACAAAAAGCGATTTTTTGAATAAATCAAATTGTTCACATTAAATTATTTTAAAGCGTGTTTACGACAAATACATTAGACTAGACCGTCCTCTCATAGTATAGGTTCACGCAATTTATTAAGCCACTGATTACGATCCCACAGCGTTTATAAAAAAATTCATTGAAACTTGGAGATGATGTTGCATTGTCCAAAATCGATCTAAGATGACGACGATAAACAACAAGAATTTCGCCGTGGTTAAACCACGCACGATCAATTTTCCCTACGATGTACTTGTACCATTAATTCGTGCATGGTAAAAATTGACGATTTATTTGACCAATGCAGCGCCGCACATCAGCAATAAATGAATCCAGAAAATTGCGGAAAATAACTTTGCGAACGAGGAATTTCACTGTAATTAATTAACACATGGCTAGCGTCGCGCGCAGCATAACAGACGCTTCCTATACACTTAATTATAGGGGAGTGGTATATATTGCGAAGGAGCAGACTTTTGTCATCATCGCAGGTCCATCGGGCCACCTCATATATCCAAACCCGATTACTTATTCCCTACGATCTTTTTGCCTTCGGCAAGAGTAGGGAAAAAATTCAAGTAGAAATAAAGTAAGATAGTAATAATAACATAATAACAGATCAAAGATAGTAATTTAATTTTCTAAGATCTAGATCAAAGATGATAATTTTATGTCAATGCTTTCAAAATCATAAATTATTTGTATCATTAAGGGAGGAGGGATCTCTTCCAATTTTTAACTCTAGTAGTATTTATAGGTCAAAGAGACATCTATTAAATACATGACATATTTTATTGAAAGGAGATGTGAACTGGTTGCCATGTAACCATAACTTGTTTTTTCTAATACTATTATACTATTTGTAATAGTAATACTACAGTTATGGTTTTCTGTGGGTAGTACTGGAATGGTTTTTGCATTGGGTAATGTTAATGGTATGCTGATTACACGGGTAATGAAATTGGCAACTATTTTGGTCCAATTCGTATCGATTATTTGACCCAAAGTATAACTTGGCGGATCCAATTATTTTTTATCAGCCACAATAAATAAAATGGCCGAGCATGAAGTATAGTACCGATGTATAGCCATAGGGTCAAAAGCTCAAAACATGCCAATTCCCATGGGATTGTTTCCTCGCTTTTTCTTTTGAACGAAAAATGAGAGCTGAAGATGAAAAAAAGAGCTGCAGACTCCTAACACACTATTATTTGAAAGCTTCTAAAACGAGACAAACATATCACCTTACTTATAATATTAATAGTTATATGTTTCCAGAATCCCCAGCCTTCCCCAGAATATAACAACACGCGTTGATCGCGTTGGCACCATTCAATATTGACGCATGATCTGCTTATCTAACTGCAAGATTTTATAAAATAAATTAATAATCCTATCACGTTTTCCAGTTCATTCAGTTGTAAAAATCAAAATCATCACCAGCAATGACATGCATGGAAGACATTAATTTAATTATGCTGTGCATGTGATTCATGATTACCGGCTATGATTTTACAATTTTATAAACTAAGGTGATGGGACATATAATTATTTAGGAGCAATGTCCACGTGGCCCCACATTTTTCAAACAGTTAGTCACGTTTTGATAACTTTACGTCCGAAAAGTTAGAAATAATTGGGCGACACTTCACAGTTCACACTTGGTTGGCACAAATCTTTTGTGCAAACGAATTTTCTTGGTTCAATACTTTACGATTAGGCTCAATCAACAACTTTCAAATAAGGGGGCAAATTCACAATCACCGACACCATGTTTTGGACACCTCTGTATTACACACTCTTGAGACTATAAAGCACGGTGGGGAGAAGGATAGAATTCCAATAAAGAAAATACAATGTATGGCAAAATAGAAACTGGTACGACTGATATCCGAGCGAACTAAAACATATTAAATTCGAATGCCTAAGAACTCTCTCGAATGAACGGGAGAGTTATTGATTCATTTTTGCAGTTTTACGACTTCCCTGGAAAATGGCCGTGAGTAATATTGATATGTTTAATTATGGTCACGTGACATAAGCTCACAAAAGCCGCTATGGGATTTTGTTAATTTGTTAGTGTTAAGGACTCAACATTAATATAGTCAATATCAAGGAACCGGCAATGAGTTTGTCATCTGCTAACATCCACTTTCATCTGCTAACATCAAGCTTTCAGGAGCTGGAATAAAATCTGCTCATCCATCATCTGATTTAAATATCGAGGCCCGCCATTGGATCCCAAAATTATTACTGATGATCATTTTATTTTTTAAACACCCATTGGGAAGAATTGAAAAGGGGAAAATGGGATTTTACACAAATATGTTATCTATTTCTAGGCTTTGGCAATTCAACCTTTCTAGCGAATCACCTTTTCCATTGAAAAATCGTTAATGACATTAACATAAAATCCAGAATGAGAGAAAGAGTGCTTCCTTAATCTTGATTCAAGTTGGTATCAAAATGATGAAAGTTACGGCGAACAAAAAACGTTAAGAAAAAGACACACCTTTCAAGCAGCCACAATGTGGTCTATTCTGTATCTACTACACTGGACTAATTACAATAAGCGATGCTGTTCAGTGTTCAAATACCACATGTAAAACTACGACAATGCAGATCATGCGATACAAAAGCCATGAATGAAGTTTTATCAAACGTACTACATTGGGAAAGAAATATAAAAAGTTCATGTTCTTAAACAATTCTATTTCTATATCCATACGAAGCCAGGACAATATAGCAATATGATGCATAAAAAATTTGAATATATTTGAACTTGTTTAATCAACTTGAAGTTGACGGTACATTAGCAGGCCCCGGCTAGTCGTGTCCAACAAAGATAGCAAAAAATATTCATCTGACTTTAAATTTTTTAGCGTGGTAAAAACTTTCACAGACACTAGTACAGGCTGACACGGTATTGCATTGCTACAAAAGACAGACTTTATTTATACAAAATGTTTGAGAATGCCAGGTGGGATCAAAGTTATCTCTCTCTCTCTCTCTCTCTCTCTCTCTCTCTCTCTCTCTCTCTCTCTCTCTCTCTCTCTCTCTCTCTCTCTCTCTCTTTCTCTCTCTCTGTTCTGGTCAACGGTTTCTGGTCTCCTATTTAAAGAGGGAGGTCTTATCACCGTTCCCACAGAATGCAACTCCTGCTAGCTACAAAGTTATCGCAGATAGATTTGTGTATAATATATATTATAGCTATAGCTATTACTATAACTTATATAAGTGATCTTATCCTCAGCATGTGTTTAACGTTAAGTTCCAACACTAAGTAGCAATAGTAATCAGTCTACTGCAAGAATTGTAGAGCCATGTCGATTTATATCGATATAGGCGAGTCAGGCAGGTTAGGTACGCGAGATAGTTTCCGACTTTTTGACGTGGTCAACAAGCTCAACATAAACACGGAAATTATGAGAGAGTAGGCAAAAAGATGCCGCCCATCTCTTGTTTAAATTATGGATGGTCAACAGCTAGATTAAACTACAAAATTGTCCCTCCTCGTCACATTTAACATAAGACTAAGAGTGACGTACACAAAGTGACCAAATAACTTATAAGTAGGTAAATTAAACGACGTTATATAAAGGGATTTACAAAATAATGTTCACATGATAACATTAACAATGATAACAACAACAGCAAGGTGTTTGAATTAAGACATTTTAAACTTGAACTTTAAAAATGAGTCTTAATGACGATGAAGACATCAGATTTCGTCATGAATTTTCTGAAGAACAGATCGATTGTGGTTACAGCATACCACTTTTCTATATTTTTGCCGGCACGATGCTTTTTATTGTTAAAACCTAACGATTTCCTCATTTCATACGCTATAGATCGTTTATTCGCAAGCTACAAATTCTTCGAAATAATTTAGAATGTAACGAAATTGAATTATGAAACACTTAAAAATGGTGATCACGATCTAGAGTTATCTTTTGCAAAATATCTCTTTAATCATAGGCGGCAACAACTTGCTAAAAATGACGTTTTATATACATCTCTGGAGTCTGGTGGGGTCTAAATCAGACAAAATTCAAAGTTCAACAATAATATGTTCCTCTGAAATATGGGAATTTCTCGACAGAGGAAAGTTTTATTTACAGCTCCTCCCTACTACCGAATCTCCTCAGAGTTCTATCCCGTTTCCGCCTCTGACTTCCAAACATCTGAATATCAGTAATCGCCAGCCTTCTTTTCTTAAAACCAGAAACATTTCTTTTTCTTCTGTTAAGTTGAGACTTGTTTTCTCTGACCCGATGCAAATAACCCGTAATTAACACTGGCACGACTTCTGGCGAGGGACTGCTGGCTTCTACCTGACAGATAAATTAAAATGTTTAAGACTCTAGCATTAAAAATTAGCAAATGTTTCTTTGAATTTTATTTCATCTCATTAAGGACGAGTAAAAGTAAAATTGGAAGAAGCGTAATATCGAGTTTAAGTTGAATGGAGGTGTTTCCTATTTCTTGAGTGTTCTAACCTGGATTGAGCTATCAGGATCTTGAATTTCTCGGCCCCTAAACGTCAGATGAAGTGACACAATACCCATTTTCCTCTCCCTTGCAAGACTAGGACTCGTTAAAACAGAGATCATGTCTGTTGTTAACAATCTTGAAATCACCCTTACGTCCGTCATTTTCCCTGACGTAATGCAAGTAAGAATTTGAAGCATCAAAGATTTGTCGGAGATGAATTTACACCTGTTAATTTCCCTCCTTCAATTTGTTAAAGTTCGATTACCGAACAAAGCAATTTGTAGATTTGACAAGGGTACCACCCTCTATGAACCTGTAAAATTGTTTCTCGTATCTGTTCCCAGGTACAATACGTGTGAGGTATTCACCGGCTGATCGTTCTCTTGTAGCTGAACGGATGATTCAGATCTGTCCCTAGACAATATTTTGGGTAACATGACGCATTTTAAAGTTATAACTCTGGGGACTGGCACTACCAGCATGATTATCTGTCGCAGTAGTATATTATGCAACTCTGGGTTACTCATTATAATTAAAGTCGCTACTGACTTACTGATACGGATCTAACAGCTCTTTAAATGTATAAAACTGATCCATTCAGCGTTCTCTAAACAACCACGTACCTAAAGACAGTGATAGTGCCTTCTTGTAAATCCACTTTCATAGCAACAAGATTCCAAACTCCTATACTTAGGGGTGTCTCTTGTTTCACTGTAGTCTGACCGTGTGTGGCCACAATCTTTAAATCCTCGTCAAGAAACAAGCATCTGAGGAAAATATTGTTTCACATTGTAAATCTGTAAATCGTCATGTAATTAATGTAGTTAAGACTATCATGGCGGGTCACGCATCAGAAAATCGTATTAGAGATCCTAACATTGCAGAGTATTTTATACTGTTACAAATAATGAACATTCTCGTAAAATGTGTACGCGATTGTAACCCACAATACTCACACTCCAGTATCAGAGGTGCATAAAACAGGCTGGACAACCCCTTTAACAGCTGTCTTGACCCAGGCACTAATAATAAAGTTGTTGGTGAGGTTGAGTTGTTGTAGTGAGGTGAGAGTCACGTGACTATTAGATAGAGAGATGCCGTAACTCTCCGGTTCAGCGCACTTTACAGCAATGTTGGTCCTGTTTGAGGGAGATGTTCAGTATTACAATTTAATGGACTTACGATACTGAGATGGGAAATCTGAGGTTTGGGAAATACTTCGTTTGTTTTATTTCTTAATTAACTCATGTTTTTCATCTTTATGACATTTATTACTGAAAAGACTATCAACTACTGATCAACAATTACCAAGTAGCCCGTGACTGGTGGAAGTTGTAGACTCCTATTTTCCCACCAAGCAATTTTAAATCGAATATCGTTCCTGAGTTAACAATCAAACCCTCCGAAGCAGTGTAAACCCGTACTTCAATAGATCCAATTGAGGGTCGGTGTGATACAATCCACCTGATAATTTGTACTGCTAGTTAAAGTGAAGCTTCAGGAACTTTATCTAGAATACAATTCTATGAAATTTATTGAAAAACCATAACATAAGAGAACCGGATATTCTCAATGATTCGGAGGGTAGCAATCACTATTATATTACAGAATCACGTAAAAATGAATAAAACTAACTATAACAGAGATTATACCTGTAAGAAGTTCCCGGACCCCAGGAAATGTGGTTGGGATCCTGCCATAGCAACGTAGAAACATCACTGTCACTGCTCAGCCACAGTCCGCTATCTATAGTGTCCTTATCTGTTATAGAGATATGAACACGCCGTACTTGCAATCCTGAAATGGGGATCATGACATTTTGATCATCTGGGACCGGTGTGGTTTTTAAAGAAGAAACGCCACGGAGCAATTAATAAACCCTTGACGGAACATAGTGCTGAATATGAACGAACTTTGTATACGCTTATTTATTGTCGGGTCATCATAATATTTCTGGGGAAGCCCCTCAAGACTCAAGTATAGCTCATCAATAAATTGTTCAGCAGATTGCTACAATACCAGTTATGATACAGGTCGAGCAGTAATGTTCAGATATCCAATAAATCATAATACGTCGATACAGTTCCTGACTAAGAACCCAGAGATCTTATTTGAAGACGGTTCTCAAACGGTCTCTCTAAGAGGGCCTATAATTCAGTGAACAATTCGTGTTGTCCATTGGTCACTCAGTGGCGAAAAAGGAGTTCCTTGATCCAGTATGAATTGAACATAATATCTATCCTACAATATGTTCCTACAATTCCAATAATTAACCATTACACTTTTGCATCCGGTTTGAATGACTGGCTCCATAGCACTTTTAGTTTAGATACAGAGTTTTGAAATGGGAATTGAATCCACTTCAAAAATTACTGCAGTTGGTAAAGTCTGAAACATATTTGGCATTGCGTCGCGTATTTCTGTTGACTGGCATGATATGGCAGCATTTTCACGCGCTAGCCTGTCGAAAACAAGATTTTGCCTATCGCGCGTTACATTAAATGATGGCTGTAGACCCATTTTCTCGATGATCGCCCGAAACAACGCTAAAAGTTATTTAGTAGAAGTACTAATTAGGAATAGAAGGAAACTCTGATGTTTGTCTGGAACCAGGAACCCATTATTTCATCTCACTGATAATCGCCACTGACAGTTGCCAAGATATGCAGTTGGACGATGTAATGATTAATGGAGCCAAATCAACGATCTTGCCGGTTGGGATTTCACAGGTTCAACCTGTCAAGGTACCCTACCTCATAAGGAGAATAATTTTTGTAACTAGCCATTTTTTGATATTTATTCCTGCTTTCATCGTTCTTAGGTGCTGCCTTTACTCTGATGTTCCGGCCACCAAAGAAGAACTAGTTAGTATCGTTTGGTAACTGCAAGCCTTTATGTATTAGTTTATTGCCTGGTCACGCGCTATCTTTGGTGGCTATTTATTATTTAAGCTCAGTTATTTCGCTCTCTGATCGTTATTAATCATGCAGTAACTTGTACTCATTTCTTTTATCCTCTAAGATACTTCCCTATAATGTATAGCCAGGATTAAAGGCAGTTTCTAATCAACTGCTTCAAATGAATATAAATTAGAGATCTCATCACACATTAAAATACACATAATATCTTTATCTGACGTACCAGAATAATAAAATTACCCAGTAGTCCCCCGCCCCCCCAGTACTAACTAGTAGTCCCCTCCCCCCAGTACTAACCAGTAGTCCTCCCAGTACTAACCAGTAGTCCCCTCCCCCCAGTACTAACCAGTAGCCCCCCGCCCCCCCCCCCCAATAATAATCAGTAGTTCCCCCTCCCAATAATAACCAGTAACCCCCCCCCTCCCATTACTAACCAGTAGTCCCCCCCCCCCCCTCCCAATAATAATCAGTAGTCCCCCCTTCCAATAATAACCAGTAGCCCCCCCCCCCCCCCTCCCAATAATAACCAGTAGCCCCCCCCCCCCCCCCATTACTCACCATTATTAGCCCCCCTCCCAATAATAACCAGTAACCCCCCCCCCCCCCCCCAGTACTAACCAGTAGTCCCCCCATGAGCGTGGTGATGAGAACAGTCCTGACCACAGTCCCCATGTAACCATGTCTTATACTAACCAGAAGTCCCCCAAGTACTAACCATTATTAGCCCCCCCCCCCAGTACTAACCAGTAGTCCCCCCATGAGCGTGGTGATGAGAGCAGTCCTGACCACAGTCCCCATGTAACCATGTCTTATACCCCTGTCTCCAAACTAATAAGTACATGTTACCCGGATCCTGGTAACTCAGCACCAGTCCAATGTAGCCGCTCTCTTCTGTCGAGTAGGGGATGTAGAACGTTCCCTTGTAATCCACGTCTTCAAATCTGGGAGATAGAAAGGAATTTAGGTACGCTAATCCACAGGAAGGGCTCATGACGGGTTGATCCAAAAAGGATGCCAAGAAATTACCTACATATTATGTAGATCTTCATTTTAATGGTTCTTGACCACTCTTGATCATTGTTGATTAAATATGTTAAAACTAATCCAGTGGTTACAGTTGTTAGATATATGGAAGTGAAAGTCAAAATTGTATATCAAGAGAAGTCCAGTTTTAGAGCAGCTTATCGTATACGTCATGATATAAGTTGACCGATATTACTAATCCCAAGAAAGTCACAAAATGGTTGATAAAGTCAGACTTTTGGGAGATATAACTTGTCTACCAACTTGCGTATTTATAGAATGAACAGCTTGTATTTATAGAATGAACAGCTTGTATTTATAGAATGAACAGCTTGTATTTATAGAATGAACAGCTTGTATTTATAGAATGAACAGCTTGTATTTATAGAATGAACAGCTTGTATTTATAGAATGAACAGCTTGTATTTATAGAATGAACAGCTTGTATTTATAGAATGAACAGCTTGTATTTATAGAATGAACAGCTTGTATTTATAGAATGAACAGCTTGTATTTATAGAATGAACAGCTTGTATTTATAGAATGAACAGCTTGTATTTATAGAATGAACAGCTTGTATTCATAGAATGAACAGCTTGTATTTATAGAATGAACAGCTTGTATTTATAGAATGAACAGCTTGTATTTATAGAATGAACAGCTTGTATTTATAGAATGAACAGCTTGTATTTATAGAATGAACAGCTTGTATTTATAGAATGAACAGCTTGTATTTATAGAATGAACAGTTTGTATTTATAGAATGAACAGCTTGTATTTATAGAATGAACAGTTTGTATTTATAGAATGAACAGCTTGTATTTATAGAATGAACAGCTTGTATTTATAGAATGAACAGCTTGTATTTATAGAATGAACAGCTTGTATTTATAGAATGAACAGCTTGTATTTATAGAATGAACAGCTTGTATTTATAGAATGAACAGCTTGTATTTATAGAATGAACAGCTTGTATTTATAGAATGAACAGCTTGTATTTATAGAATGAACAGCTTGTATTTATAGAATGAACAGCGTGTATTTGATCGCGTTCGGCAGAGTGTGCGTTATGTGCTCTATAATAGTCTTCCAGGTATTGGAGCGCAGAGCAACATTTTGTTCATATTGAGCACCAACAGCTTAAACTTAATTATAGTGACGTATTTATGAGTTTATGAATTATATTGGCTCCACTGTAAATTAAAATATAAGTTCTATTAATTGTATCAAAATTACAGCATTTCTAAATATGCCTTCAAATCTCAAAGTCAATTTCATCTTTAAAAACAAATAATACCAATAAAGCAATAATAACTTACCGTTACTAGGCAGATATGTGCATGAAAAGAATTGGAGCAACAATAGATACAACGAGCAACAGAAGCAGAATAATCGTTCCCAGTATCACGATCCGGGAATATCTATTCATGTTTTCGTCAGCATCACTGCTTAACATTTTAATAACCGCTAAAAATTGATGGGTAAGAGTAAGAAGGGATGCAAGTATCGTACACTTGCGCGGAACAATTGGCAGACCCCACCAACCTCATTAATCAAAAACTTAAAAAACCCATTTGGGCGAGAGAGTTGAAGCTAGGATATAAGTATAATATAGGAGGAAGGCTGCGGGGAGGGGTAGCTGATGTTACGTTCTTTTTTCAATTAATCAGCGAAGGATCATGTCATGAGAGAATTTAATCCATCAGTACGTAAACAAACGTCAAAGCAACACTGTATCCGTACTAAAGGTATGTGGAATGTTCTTGACCAAATTATTAAACAGCTTATGAAATACTATAGTGAGCTGTTGTACTATAGAATTTTTGAATGCGGCTATATCGATTAGCAAATGAAAGGTATGGGTTAGACACGGGGTACCTCGCCTGAGGTCTGAATTGTGGACGGGTTTTGCAGGACACGTGCTGTTTTTGCAGGACACGTGCTGTTTTTGCAGGACACGTGTTGTTTTTGCAGGACACGTGCTGTTTTTGCAGGACACGTACTGTTTTTGCAGGACACGTGCTGCGATTTAAGAGTAATTAAGTTGTCGCATAATTTTGGAACAGAATCTTATTTAAGGAAACGAGATCTATCTTATTATTACGACGGTAATAGTTTTTTGTTTGAAAAAAAAGGTTCAAATATTATTTATCATTGAATATGTACTTAACGAACGAAACGAAACGAAACGAAATACAGTATTTATGCGGCAAAAATATTATATAAGATATAACTAAATAAGTTACACATTATGGTGCCCAACAAAACATTTTCTCTCCCCTTCGAAGCCGAATATGAATTAAAATGAACTAAACCATTTCAAAGCATAATAGACAACTAGTTGCTATTATTGGGAATGAGGTAACATCAGAGAACAATTATTGTGCTGCTTACTCTTTCTTATAACCGCTAAATTAACTGTAGATGAGATTTTATTTGATAGCTGGGATGAGGTAATGTACTGATGAACAACGTAAATACTCTAATATTGTAGAAAGTTCTCTGTCGTGATTTGAGCAATGAGCACAATAAGAGATGGAGATGGGAATGGAGAGCAAAGAAGTGATACGATAATTTTCGTAGACTTTAGGAAATTGTTCAAAGAAACCTCAACTTCTAGAATACGATCATAATGGGGAAGAATATTGTACGAGCACGGATTCCTATTTAACTGAGCCGTTATTGACAGCGCGGCTTAATTGCAATATAGTGCCAAGACGGCAATAACTTTGCTGCTGCGTTCTTTATGTCATAAAACCGCCGTTACAATTTACCACAAAGTTTTTTGGTTTTGTTAAACAATATTTCTTCTTATGAGACTTTGAATAAACAGTCATCAGCGGAATCATGACTCATTAAAAGCAGTTTGATGAGTGTTAAAAGTGAGTAACAACGCTGCAAGGGTTGTGAAGAGGATCAACTCCCTCAACTGGATACTGGTCAACAAACATCGGGAATGTGGTGGACCTAATCATGGACGCTGGCTGATCCCACTGAAAATATAAAACACTGATCACGTTACAACAGGGTCGAGATCACGTTATAAGATGTAAAGCTCTGAGGGTCGAGTAAGCACTGAGGGTCGAGATCACGTTATAACATGTAAAGCTCTGAGGGTCGAGTAAGCACTGAGAGGAACTGATTGTTAAATTCCAGGACATGACTTTAAATCACTAAACTGTGAATCTAACACACTTATTTGCTGCCAAGCATTTCTATGATTAAAATATCGAGACATTATAATGTAACCAGTTCCCCGAAATAAGCTGTACAATTCTTTGAATTGAAATAAAGTCAACTTGATGATTATTAGAGCTAGAGGCAGAGCTGCACTTACCGGAATAAATTGGAAACAGAAAAGCGCACACCTCTATAGGATTTATTAGAAAATTAAGAAAAGAAACACACTTTGCTATAGCTCTATAGTGGCGGAAAACTCCTCCAGCCAGTTTCAAACTTGTCACCCTGATTAGGTACATAGTGAGCTCAAATTATGTATTATATAGCAGTGTTGAAAATATTAAACACGTTTACTCGACGCAAAGCACAGGTTAAAACTGCCAATCTACGTGATGAATTTGATGAGCGAGATATACAGAAGTAAAGATAAAGATCGTCAACTTCAGAAAAATGACAATAAAAGTGGTCTAATCATATCTACGAAATGCAGTCTTCCGAGACAAGTGCCATTTAATAATAGAGTCTAAATTCTACGTCAAAATGATAAATGAGCCCGAACCTGCGACTGTCAATATTTATAGTCGTCGATAAATTTAAGATCGTCACAATCCATCATGATCGTTTTGCTTCAACTGTCAGTAAGCATCACCAAGTATAAATAGGCAATGTTCATCTCTACTGGGCATCAAACGTGGCATTATTACAGGTGAGCGACACAAACCAAGATATTATCCTCTGTGGGGGTGACCATGTGCTATTAGATATAAAAGGTTAAACGTGACACGCCGTGTCAGTACGGGTTAAAAGCTGCGATACTACGATGAATTGAGATATTATTGATCACCAGCTTCATACATCAACAGGGAAATATATACTATATGATATATATCTATATATATTTGGAGGGATGCTTAAAGGACACTTAAGGAAAAGAAAATTAAGGGAAATACACTTAAGGAATACTTAAGGTATACTTAAGGAACACTTAAGGAACTCGGTGTACCTTGCCTTAAGGCTTAAGTGCCCCTTTTAAGTGCCCACCGACAGAGTACCGAATTCCCTCGAAATTTAGTTTTATATATGATTAGAAAATTAACATTTAGATTAAGTGTGTATACTTAATCGAAATATTGTTCAAAATACATTTAGTATAAAGAGCTTCAATATCTGTTTACAATCAGGGCATTCAATTTACTAAAAATAACATAAAATTTGAATTTCAGACGAGTAAAAATTAAATCTCAGAATCTCATCTCCAAATTATAACGGAGTTCCGTCAATATTTGAACTGTTAGTAAAAAGGAAACATAAATAAATAAACGTGGCCAGACATCAGCAGCGCTCCAAGCTGTAAACGGTTTACTTCAACCGAATGCGTCACTAAGTTGAATATTTTATTGACAGAAAGCTATTTAAAATTTCAAGCATAACTTTTACTTACTTCAAGTCATTATAGAATCTTCCTTGATATTATATTAATTTAAAGGATTGTCTTTATAACTTTATAATGTTGGACGATAGCGTGGTATCTTGAACTATGAAGTGTCAATGGAATATTATGATTATAATGGCTTTTGTAGGCTTAATCTCAAATATGTCACATTTCCTCTTGACAACTTCAAATAAACATCATAGTTCATACAAAAACTTTTAGAATTTACAATATGAAGTTATTTGTCATAACATCGACCCATGTGACATGTGACAAATATTGAAGTATCCTCTAAGAGAGGGACGG